GTACAGATACATATTCTATAGACATCCATATACAGTTCTGTAGTTATGCCGTCGAAGTCCATACCAATTGAGACTAATGATTGACAAGAATATCCGAGGAAAAACTAAGGAAAAAATGTGAAAATGGCCGCCCTTATGATAAGCTTGTTTTCTCCTTTATTGCCCATTCTGCATAACAAAATTGTTAATGTACCTCAACTCTCGCAGAAAATCCTGCTCTGATCCTTCGTTGTACGCTTTGAGATTGGAAACCCACCACAATGCTAGGTTCAAAAATAAGAACTGTACTCTGAAATAAAGTCTGCAGTGGGTGACCTTTGGGTAAAGCATGTGGTCGAGAATGTGAGCAGCGTTGGAAAAATGAAGTTTATTTTCCAATACTGAATGTGAGGATTCATCAAGCTCGATGCTCATAGTTCCAAAATTAATTAAAATCTTCGCAGGATGCATGGTACTCTTCTTTTCGTACGAATAACACCATAGCGTATGATGATGAACTCGACTGAAGTGAGGTCCTAAAACAAGCTGTTCTATATAAAAACACCATCCGCTGAGATTTTTGCTGTAATTCGGAAGAGACGAACTTATTTTTGGCTATGTTCGAAGAGATTCACGATTCAGACAATACTTAAAGAATTTTTCGAAAGATCCTCAACACCGGTGGATATACGTTTGTTATTTTTAAATCCTTGATTGAATCCTTGTATCACCAGTTTTATGTATAACACTTTCTCACTAGCTTAATTTGTGAGTAAACAATGTATTGAACCGAGTAGTAAACCTTAGCAACGATTGGCAAAACGTCAACACTCAACAGTGCTGCCGTTTTATATTATATTGTTTGCGTCCAACTTGTCAAAGTGTGCCTTAATGTGCCGAACAGTGTGTCATGCTGTGTTTCGGCACAGTGTGCAGAGTTGATTGCCCCTTGGCAAATTCTTTAATCTCGACATAATTGGTCGTAAATAAGTGGCTTTAGAGACAAAATTTTAAGAAATAGTGGCTTTAAGCCACTAAAAAGTTACCTGCTACCAGCCCTGATATTCTCATTCGTATTCCTTTTCTAGCAATAGCATTAACAAACATCAATAGGGTTGCTTTAAATGGGAATATCTATTATTGCGTTCCAAATTAATTTTAAATGTATCAGGGTGGCCAGTGAATTTTCATTTTGAAATTCCCGGTTTATTTCCCGGTTCAAATCTTCAAAATTTCCCGGTTATTAATATTCAACAAAATAGAAATAGTACGCATTTTTTAAAACGCGGCCAACTGTACATTTTCGGATAGAACAACAAAAAATATAATCTTCCATTTAATTCCACTTAATTAATGTTGGTATTCACGTATTTCGACTACAATGTGCAGTCTTAAGGGGGTGCATTTTGATAAGTTCTTTAGTGGGAATGACACTGATCAAGACTGCACATGGTAGTCGAAATACGTATCTGTCATAGATACCAAAATTAATTAGGTGGAATTAAATGGAAGATAACCTTTTTTGCTGTTTTATTTAAGCATTCTGCTAACAACCCAATTTCATTACTCAATTAAATTTTCGGAGGTTATATGTGGGAAAAATAACAATTTTCGTGATGCAAGATTTGGGGAAAAAATAATTCAAATGTGAGATTTTGAAAAAAAAAATCAAGACAACAATGAAAAAAATCATACTTATGGGTCGTGGAGTTATAATTGTCCAGCTTCTGAGACTTGAAAGCATTTTAAGGGTTATTACAAGTTACAGAACAATCTATAGAATCTTGCGGACAAACCCTGGAATTTTTAGTAAAAATTAAAAGTATTCAAATTGTTGATTTCAAACAAATATTGAGGAGGATTCCCACACAGTTTTTGAAGTGAGAAGTTCTGAGCAGAATTTCAGCAAGTTCTAAATCAAATTCTTATGTTATTTTAGAAAATTTCAAAAGGAGTTAAAAAAAAACTTTAAGTGAAATTCCTACGTAAATCTGAGGAGATTTGATTGGGGATCGTGAGGAAAATAACAGATGAATTTTAAGAAGAATTCCAAGAGAATTATGATGAGAATGCAACAAGAAACAGAGTTCTAAGAGTGTTCCGGGGAAAATTTCAACCCTAGTGCAAAAAATTCATCAAAGAGCACCAACAGAATTGATTGCAACAAAAATTGCTGATAATTAGAAAGAAATTCTTTAAAATAAATACTCCAAGTGTTTTCTAAATAAAACTCAACAGATTTCTGCTGCTTTGAATAGAAAATTTTGAACGGAATTTCAAAGGAATCAAAGTCTCCGTATAGGTTTAAGACAATTCTAAAAAAAGGATTCCAATCAAACTCCAGGGCTGGTAGTGATCACTGCTGTCAGAAATAGTGATTTTAGTGACCATGTTGAATAAATAAGTGAACAAATAGTGACTAAAAAGTGACCTAAGAGAAGGCGCATCGAATAACTGTTTGATGTCTTAGACTTATTCTATTATTATCAAATAAACACTTATGTACGATATGAACCTTTAAAAGCTAAAGATTCAATAGAAAGTTTATAACCAAACCCCCATGGTATAAGTCAAGGTGCTAATTTCAAACATCTGGAAAACCGGGAATCCTCAGGAATTTTTTTGTTTTTAATTAAAATACCTGGAAGTTTCAAAGAATTAAAAAAAATCTTATTAAGCATGTTTTAAAGAAAATAATGAATTTTAAAGTACAACTCTTTAATTTTTCTCGTTGTTTTCATTCTTCATTCACACTTTGAACTTAAAAGATTCACAGTGGATTAATCTTCAGTAAGAAATTAGTTAAAAAAATATTTTTTTTTTGGTTTCTGAAGACCACTGTTCTTCTGTGAAGTTTCCGAAGTTTTTCTAAATTTATGGAACTTTTGTGCTTCCGCAATTTTCATGGAATTAGAAGGAAATAATTAATATAGTTCAAGGATTTTCACTGAAGTTCTCAAGATTTAATAAAACTTCCATTAAATTATCGACACTAATTTAAAACTTCATCAACAGTCTAGGCTTTCCTGGTGCCTAATTATTGAATTTCTTTAAAGGTCTCTAGACTGCCCTGAATTTATCAGTATTTTTCAAGAACCCGCAACTTTACTGAAATTAATTAATTTGCCTTGAAGTTTCGAAAATGTTCCTTAACTATTATAACCATTATTAACACTCGCTTTTCCCTAAACTTATCAATGCGTAACTGAATTTGTTTAATAATCCAGCAAATTTTCTGATATGTATTCATAATTCCCTGCTGCTTCTAACGTTTTAGGATAAATCATAGAATTCTTGGAATACCCTATAATTCCACGGAACTCCTTGTAAGTCGCTGCAAATTTGCTTAAGTTAATGGGATTATTCTGAATCTATCTGATCGTCCTCGAAGTACTCGGAAGTTCGCTGAGTATCATTAAACTATCTAAAAATATCTAAATTTAGTTCTCTGGAACTTCTTGAAGATATCGCTGCTTGCTAAAAGTTCTCACCTTTTTTTTTATTTATGGAACTTCGTTGATGTTCTCTAATCAACGTAGCTAAATTTTCGCATTTTTTAGCTTTGCTGAAGTTTTCGGAAATTCACTGAGATTCTCGAAACTTCATTAAGGTTTTTAATATTTCATTGACTTGTTAACTTCCCTTATCTTCCTGCGGTTTGTCTATAGAGCTTCACTGAAATCCTCAGCATTTCTTTTCATTCATCAGTTCCTCCAAAGTTCCTACATTTTTTGTAAAGTTAATGGAACGACGAACCAGCCAGTGGCTGAAAATCACTCTAAGAAAAAGAAAGAAAAAAAAAAGTTAATGGAACTGCATCGAAGATCTCTAATATTTCATGAAGTTAATTACGAACTTGAAATAAATCATTTATTTTTAACTTAATTCTGGCACTTTGAAAATTTTCAATACCTTGAACTTGCACATGGAATACGAAACTTCAAGACATTGAATATTTTTAGATCTTGGACTTACTTACTTAGAAAACTCAAGTAACTTTCAAGGAAATTCCAAAAAGAATTCAACGGTAATTATTACGTGGAGTGTTTTCTGGTTAATTTCAGAAGAATTCCATGATAATTCAGAGCAGAATTTCAAGTTAATTCATTCTGGAATTCATATCATGAGCATTGTGAATACCGAAAAATTAAAACCCCGGAAAGGAATGGATCAGTTTCGGTTTTTACAAATATTTGTTTCGAAAGTCCAGCATCTTCAATATTTTCTTTTAATGCCCATACACACTTTACACCTGAAGTTGAAACGACAAAAATCAATTTGAAATATTGCTGAGTGATTAAATTCTAAAAACAATAAGACGGGAAATACAGCGGCGTCGGTGTGTAGTGGTAAGCGTGATTACCTCTCTCTTACCCTAGCAGGCTTGGGTTCAATCCCAGTCGGCCCCACCGGTATGTTCTGATGCATAACATCTCTGATCACGCCTTCCTTCGGAAGGGAAGTAAAGTCGTTGGTCTCCGGTTCATGAGTTGATGGGTCGATAGGTAAGGTTCAGGTGTGGGAGCTGCCTCCCTGGCGTCGGTAGCATTGGTTCTCAGCACGGAAAACAAGATCGACGGAAAACAAATCAAAGAAAAAAAAATAGGGAAACTGAAGAAATTATGCAGCAAATAGAGTAAGACAATGGAGAGAATGGTAAATAATCACTCGATTTTAATGGTTTATTCTGAAATCCTGGTGTAAAAATTTGTTCCTATGGCATGGTTAATTTATTTTTCCCGGTTTTTTCCTGGTGACTTAGACTTCCCGGCTATTTTCGCTTTTCCCGATTTCATGGGTCACTGGTCACCCTGTCGGTATCTCCCATTAGACTTAGCTGCTTGGAACCTACTTACCGTCGCCTGAATGCTTACCTTATGTTACTTACCTTTGCTAAAGTATCCTTAAAGAGACATCAGACCGAAACCAAAGTCTTCCACCCGACCGAAAGCAGAAACCCCTTTAAACGCATAATTGAAAGGCAGTCATACTCAATTGCATTGCAAGCAACGAAACAAACGAAAACGGAAACCTCTTTTTATTAATCGCTTAGCATTTATTTTCATCTCGTTTTAAAAGTCTTATTTAAAATGGAATTACACTTGAGATAGAGAGGGGGCAGGTGCGCGGGCGGCTGCAGGGGAACTCGGGGTGAAACGGATATGTCTTGCAAAAGTGCACCGAAATCCCATCCCGTTTCAGCCCAATCTCTCGCAAACCGCCCCGCCCGAAACACCGACGAGCATTGCTTCTTCACGCCCATCTTTCCGGCGAAGTTTATATGTATGTATGTATGTGTATGTGTGTGTGTGTTTGTGTCTGTCTGTACGTATAGCTGCAACATTTTCGTCTTCATCGGCGCTTCTTCATTCCTTCGCCCACCCGCGCCGTCACAGTGTATGCGCACGCAAGCGAGCGCGAATTAAATAAATTAAAATTAAGTCTAATCAATTTGCTTGCCTAAAAATTACGGATCACTTTTTTCCCTACTCTCGACTTCTCTCTTCCCTCTTTACTATATATTGATTATTTTTGTTGTTGTTGCAGTTTTATACGATGCATACTCCCTAGCGGCTACAACCTACTACTTTCACTTATTTGCTGTGTTTGTGTTTGTTTCAATGTATGTGTTTATGGTAAAAATGTATAACAATTCGAACAAAAAATCATACCTAATAGTTTGCCTTTCTTGTTTTAAAAAATCATCTCACTCGCACGCAATATCCATCACTTGCAGTCTCTCTCTAACAAACCGAGAGGAGAGGATGATTAGTCTGGTCATTTTCTTATATAATTAGACTTCATTGCAGAAAAGGGATATTTCTTGTTTTTTTCCTTTAAAATCTTCGACTATAAATATTTGCATTTGCATTCTTGCTCCTAAAGGAAGTTCTACTCTATAATGTGTTTATGAGTAAAACTATCGCATTAAAAATATTTATTTGATTTCCGTTTCCTTACTTACACAGTGCTCCGTTTAAAATAATGATGTGTTATAGTATAAAAAAAAAAGACTAAATCGTTTTCATATTGTGTAATCCTTCTTCTTGGAATAAGGCATCTCGGTTTCATTCACGCTACGATCGCGGGTGTTGTCTACCTAAGCTTAGTAAGTCTTACGGTCCGTTTTAGTAGAAATTTTATTTTGAACTACATTTCATTCATACGTTTGATTTTTCTAAATTCCTTAATCGGGTGGATAATTCACACAAATGTGTACTATTCATTGCATACTGATTGCGCCTGATAGGGTGATCACAAATTGAAAACCAAATTTGGATCTAGGTTTTTCCCGACTTTTCATCAGTTGACATCTTTTTATGAGAAACACGCATTTGTGCTAATTATCCACCTTCCACTGTATATTCGCAAGGGGGCAATTGAATCATTTTTTATTTTATTTTTGATTGGTGGTATTTCAGTAAACATATGTATACGAAGAAGAAGCAAAGGAGAATGACCCATAACAACGAAAAGCCGATGACTACTCCACTATACGATGACCGTGAGATATTGGTGCGACCGGTATTTCTCCTTCAGATTGTGTTTCGTGATTCCGTGCTGCCACTCTTCTTCGATCCCATTATCGTCAGTCTAGACAGTCGTGTTCGAAAATGCATATCAAAATACTTTGTGGTATGTATGTACGTAGTTCTGGTCTATCCCGCTTCGGGCGGAGCGGAGAACCAAAGGCAGTGCTTTCTCGCGGTAGTATGTACATTTTAGTTGACGATTCCTAATTTTTTTGGTCGAAAAGCGCTTTGGTCGAATCTTTTTTCGATAAATTTTACTATACATAATTACGTCTGTGGAAACAGGAACGGTGCTGGAATCGAAGGTCGAATGGATAAGTTTACACGAAAGGCACATGCAGATGGAAGACTTTGCTGTTTTCGAACAAACTTACCATTCGAACGACGATTCCGAACCCCCTCCCAGAACGACCAAAGCGGAATTCGAGCTACTAACCCTACACCGCTTACAAATAAATCGACGAGTCATGTTTCTAAAATGAAAATGACTCATCACGAAATGCATATAAAAAACCTAAAACACAAAGGAATGTCTCTCTTTCTATATTTTCGGGGATACCAGCCCAAAATGCTTTCCAAACGAACAACGGTTCTCCCTACAACAACACACGCACCAATATCTCACCGATTGGTCACGTGTATTTGAGCTTCGAGCTTCGTTCCCCACCCCTCGATTATATTTTTTTTTTTGTCTACCAGTCATGAGTCATCCGAAAAACATGCTCTAGCATTATGACGCTGTGCGGTTCGGCCGATTGGATTCAAAAATTTCACACATTTATTCAAACTTTTCCTCTGCTTTGCCACCAAAAGTGAATACTAAATTATACAAAGTAAATGTTGTTCTTCCAAATCGGCCCAAAACTAGTCTTTGGCTTCCGTAACAGCTAGGTAATACCTTCGGCACGCCTTCAGATGAAACAATCTCTTCCTTTCGAAACCAAAATTCTTCCCCTCTATCCCCTTCATATCCTCCATCCCTCATCGTCGTCCACGTTCGAATCCGTATCCGATGGCTCTTCACCGTACATATCGGCCAGCTTCCTAAACCTCGGTCCAAAGTTGGACAGATAGTTAAACTTGAGATCACCTTCGTCCGTACAGGACGCCAAGCTGGACAACGACCCCGAACTGTTGCCATCTCCTTCGTACGCATAATGCCGTACGTCATCGATCGGATATGCATCGGCGTCCCTATCGCAGGCATCCTTCTTGTCCGTCAGGAAGGCACCTATATCTGGCACTTCGTTCGCCTCCTTCTGCCGCAGATCGTTTCCGTACGGCTTGTCCATGTAAATCGGTGGTGCCCGAAGTACGGTCAAGTCGTACTCCGCATCCCGTTCGCCGCCACCTTCCTCTTCGTAGTTGATGATCGTCTCCCGAATATCATCCATGTCCTTCTCGTGCCATCCGTCTTGATGTTTCTTGTGCACCACCACCGCCAGCAACAGGATCAACAGCACTGCTATACATACGATAATCGCTATCAGGAAGTTTGAATCGATTCCGAACGATACCGCAACTGCTATCGATCGGTGACAGCCTGGATCATGGTTCTTCGCCAGACTCGGAGCACCCAGATTGTAGGTTCGATCGTTAATAGTTAGATTCCGAAGACAACCAGAGAAACCCTTACCCTGTGGTACGTAAGTCCAGTTGAACATCGATCCTAGCGATTCCAGATTAACAGCAGAACCTCCCAACTGCAGCGGAGCATTCACGTTCAACGATTCATTTGGCCCCTTCGGAGCATCCAAGCTCATACAAGTAGACAGCTTACAATTGTCGACAATCATTTCCACGGTCTGCGGTTGCAGCACAATTTCCACCGTAAACGAACGACCTTGCGGATACCGATGCTTATGCTCGATTCGAATCGTTCCCGTTCCGTAGTCCAATAGCAATACCGGCAATCCCTTGACCAATTCCAGCGCCAAAAAGTCCTGCACCGGAAGCAGCGGATTGTAACTCAATGGTCCAATGTACATCACCAACCCATCTTCCCGCTGCGGCGACAACTCCATACTGATCCTGGTCATGTTACATGGACTCACCGGAGGGTACATCGCATACCCATGACCGTAGAACCCAATGGCAATCTCCTCACAGTGCGGACCTTCGTATCCTTCATGACACTCGCACTTGTCGTTGAACGGAGTCCCTCCATTCAAGCACTCCGTTACCGCCAGTTGGGCATCACAAACGCATTCCGCCTGGACGAAAGCATTCACCCCTACGAACGAACTCGTGTTCGTATATACCGCAATCGGAACGTTCGACTTGTGCAGCACGTTCTTGCAGGACAGCTCGCATCGGACCTTCTCCTCCATACACTCATCTATACTGACCATCATCATCTTCAATCCAAGCTCCTCCTCCAGCATTCGCTGATGGTAACCGATCATACCGTTCAGTCGCTCTGGTTCATAATACGGACTTCCGTGCGCCGAGAACCTCACATCCAACAACGTAGCATTGTTATCACGCTGTAGCACCGTAAACACATCCACATTGTCCCGACTGATGTTGAACATCTCTGCAATACCGTTCTGCAACCGATCCTTCGGCGTCAACGACAGCGACGGTGTCCGTGAAACGAACTCCTCCGCCGTAATCCCGTAGAACCGAATCGACCCGCTCTTATCCACCGCCTCCTCGGGAATCTCCTTCACCGTTACCAGCACCTTCGCGGTAACCGAATGCCTCGCGAAGAAACTTGACTGCTCAGTAACCGTGAAGTGCAGTTCGTAATCCCCACCCCTCGTTCCCTGTAGCATCGTGATCATACCCGTATCCGTATTCAGCATGAAATGCTCCGGACTGTACCCATCGCGCCAATTGAATGTCTTATCTGGAAGATCCCAATCATCCAGATCGTCCACGTAGACCCGACCAATATCCGCATTCGGTGATTCCCCCTTGTAATTGTACACAAAGATCTTACTCTCACCGTCCTGCATCTCGTTGTCGTTCACATCTCCGATCACCAGGTGCAAAATGCTCACCTTACTCAACGGCTCGGGCTGTCCATTGTCCGTGATCCTAACCGGAATAAAGTACTCCTTCTGCTGCTCCCGATCGAACCTTACCTGCGCATTCAGCACATCATTATCGATGCTAAACTTTTGCTTGATATCCTCACTGGCATTGGCCGAAATCTCGTACAGGAACGGCGGTCCATTTTGCGATTCATCATAATCGTCCGCCGTCAGCGTTACAATTTTACCTGGATCTTGATTTTCGTACCAAACAACCGGCATCTTGTTCGTCAGGAACGGCGGATTGTCGTTCGTATCGTGCAGTATGATGTTAACCGTCGTCGTCGACTGTCGACCGCTTCCATCTTCATCCGTCGCCGAAATAATCACCTGCCAAGACTTGTGCCCATTCGGAGGATCTCGATCCAGCGGAGCCTTCTGCCGTAGGCAGCCCTCATCGTCGATCTCCAAAAGCGGACGCTGCTCGATCTTAACGATCGCAAATTTGATGTGCTGCGGATCCGATCGATCCCGGATATCCGGATCCCACGCTTCGATCATCTCGATACACCCGTTCATTATCTCCTCCTCATTGATCTCCAAAGTGTACTCACTCTTGGCAAACTTGGGCAGATTATCGTTCACGTTTTCGACCTTGATCGAAACCGTCGCGTTGTCGTCGTACGTTCCATCGAACGCCCGCACCTGCAACGTGTACTCGGTGATGTTCTCGTAATCCAGTTCGTTGTTCACCGAAATGGCACCCGTCGTTTCGTCAATCTTGAACGCATTGCCGATATTTCCGGACACGATCGAATACGTAATCTGCGAAGCCGTATCTACATCCTTTGCCAGTACCTGGATAACCACCGTATTCGTATTGGCATCCTCTGGGATCTTCTCCGCAATGTAGTAGTCTTTAGTGAACTTGGGCGGATGATCGTTCTTATCCGAAATCTTGATGATGAATGTCTGTGAAATGGAGTTTGGTTTGCCGTTGTTGTACAGCGCCGAAGGGGAGTTATCTTCCGCGATGATCTTCAAGTGGTACGTGTCGATAGCTTCTCGATCGAACATCATCAGCGCAGTAATGTTACCGGTATTGTGATCGATGGCAAAGTATTCTTCGTTGTCTGCCAATCGGAACGATACGATGTTGTTGGCCGAAGTTCCATCCATATCGAAGGCACGCACCTGCATAACCGGAGTACCAGCGGGTTCATTTTCCGGAATCCAGCCGGATGTCACCTCCGTAAAGTACGGAATGTTATCGTTTACGTCCAGAACCTTGATTTTGACGATGCTCTGAGCAATGAGATCGTGCGTGTTCTTCACACTTACGGTCAGAGTGTACTCGGTGATCGTTTCGTAGTCCAGTGCCTTTCCGAGCAGGATCACGGCAGTGTCACCTTTCTGTTCCAGCAGGAAAGTGTTTCGGCTATTGGTTTGCTCGGTACGACCGGTGACCAGTTCGAAAATCAGTTCCGGTTTTCCCTCTACGTGGGAATTCGCTCGCAGTGTCGCAAGAGCTGCGCTGTAGTTGCTGAAGTTTTCGTCCAACGAAAGCGGTTGCTGCTGGGTCTCCGTAAAGTATGGAGGCAGTTTGTTGGATTCGATTACAGGAATTTTGACCTCAACCTCAGCGTCCTGTGGCATATCCGGAACATTGTTGTATGCCCTCACAAATATCAGGAAGTATTGACCAGGACTTTTGTCGATCGACTTGGCCAACGTAACGATGCCGTTGTTCTCGTTGATCCGGAAGTTGCTGTAATCGTTGTGCTTCTTCAGTATTTCGTACTTGATGACACTGTTTTCCCCATCATCCAGATCGGTAGCGGAGATTGAAGCTACTCTGGATCCTACCTTGGCGTCCTTGGTAATGGGTTCGTCGTATCGAGTCTTGTCAAATACCGGTGGATTATCGTTGATGTCTTCGATTGTCACCTTGAACGTACAAACGTCGTCCAAGTTCGGCAGTCCGTCGTCCGTAGCGCGTACCGTGATGTATACCTCCTTTTCACGAATTGGTTCGTCGCGATCAAACCGATGGATGGTTGTGATCAGTCCCGTATTCTTATCGATCCGGAACTTGGGTCGCTCACCCGGAGCTGTCACAAAACTGTACGCTATTGTCTGATGATCATCAGGATCCGTAGCGTTGACCTGGATCACGTACGTTCCTGGATCTCGTTCTTCCTGAACCGAAGGAGCATACCCTTCACAGTTAACAAATACCGGCTTCCGATTGTCGACCGCTCGCAACGATCGGGGACTGTTCGCTACCGATGCTAAATTGCTCAGTCTGTTGTCAATAACGAACGATTCGTCGTATAAGCTTCGTCGATGTCTCGCATCTAACCGGTTCAAACTAAATACCTCTCGGTAATCGATTCGGCTACTACTTCGATCGTCGCCTCTTCTGTAGAAATTATCATCTGAGTGGGTCGTACACACCGACCCCGCTAGATATACTAAGATCACTATCACTAACCTATTCATGTTGCTCGTTTGCTTTACGTACTAAACCTTAACTCTTACGTATAGTTACTTAAATATAAATCTTTCCAAGTGAAAATAAAACTGTTTCTGATACTTAGCAAGATCCCTATAACCGAGATTACTCGGTCGCTGATCTTGTTTCGCTTGCTGCACTCGTCCTGAGGTCAATCGAAGTGATAGTAATAGCTGCTACTGTCTTAGAAGGGCGATAGCTACCGACATCTATCATGGTAAAAGTGTAGGATGTGTACGCACCACCCCGTATTGATAAGGCACAATTTCACACTACCAAAGGTTCCTAGTCGACCTATGGGGCCAACGACAAACAGGGAAGAGAAGAACAGAAAAAATAGGATTGTTGCATCAACCTTATCGTACTGTACAGTATAGCGCATACTCGTTCTGGTATAAAAAACCATTGTTTGCATTTGAAGAAGGCGATAAATTGAGTGTGTGTGCTTACCTTCGCTTCGTTGGAAGTCGTTGCGTTATCTGGGCTGTGGCTGCCTTACGAGGTTCTGTCGATGATAATACGTTTGTGTACGGACGGTTTCGATTGTCGATGCAATTGAATCACCTCAATGAATCGATATCTGAAAAATTAGAGAAGTATTGTAAATATTATCAATCATGTACGATAGCAGTGATAGTGAAGTACTGCAAACAAAACTTAATCACATTCTAGTCTAGGGCGTGGTGAAGCAATTCATTTCTTTTGATAGCTGGAGGTAAATGGATGAGTTACGACATCGAATCAGTACTTGTCAAGTGTTTCATTAGCAGAACATTTATATCAATTTTGAATCATCAGACCTTCTAAGAACTTTGCATGGTTTCCGCGTCACTTTTCGAAAGGTCCTATCGACATTGATCGATTTTCTTCATCGACTTTCTATTACCACGACCATGCAAACACATTTCGTGCTATTTTCGTGACATAGTAACAAACATAACAGATAATGTGCTGGCAGCTGAGTGTAGATTAGATTATGGCATTAAATCTGGGTTTGAAAGTTGGTGCACAGGTAAAGAGTGAAGTTACGGGACGCCACTGATTGATTTAAACATTGATAGGCTTAAAGGGTGATACGGTCAAAATTTGGTCAATATCAACTTGACGTATTTCTTTCAATTTTGCATTTAAAAAACCTGAACACCCCTCATTTTGAAGGTGTGTGTGTGTAGAATGTTGCTCCTATTTTGATTTTGGAATTCACTCTTCAGTTGCCAAAATGCCGTCCAAGCAAGAAGAGCAGCGTATTAAAATTTTGCTCGCGCATCGCGAAAATCCGAGCTACTCGCACGCAAAGTTGGCAAAATCGCTAAAAGTTGCCAAATCAACCGTTACAAATGTAATTAAAGTGTTTGGGGAACGTTTGTCGACAGCCAGGAAGTATGGATCGGGGGGAAATCGAAAACCGGAAGCCGCTGAGACGACAAAGAGAGTTGCCGGTAGTTTCAAGCGAAACCCTAACCTCTCTCTCCGAGATGCCGCAAATAAGCTGGGTGTATCGTCTACAACCGTGCATCGAGCCAAAAAACGAGCCGGACTATCGACTTACAAGAAGTTAGTGACTCCAAATCGCGATGATAAACAAAATACGACAGCCAAAGCGCGATCCCGGAGGCTGTACACGACGATGCTGACGAAGTTTGACTGCGTGGTAATGGACGACGAAACCTACGTCAAAGCCGACTACAAGCAGCTTCCGGGACAGGAGTTTTATACGGCAAAAGGAAGGGGAAAGGTAGCAGATGTTTTCAAGCACATGAAACTGTCAAAGTTCGCAAAGAAATATCTGGTTTGGCAAGCCATCTGTACCTGTGGCTTGAAAAGCAGCATGTTCATAGCTTCCGGGACTGTCAACCAAGAAATTTACGTGAAAGAGTGTTTGAATAAACGTCTGCTGCCTTTCCTGAAGAAACACGGTTGTTCCGTACTGTTTTGGCCGGATTTGGCATCTTGCCATTACGGTAAAAAGGCCATGGAGTGGTACGCCGCCAACAACGTGCAGGTGGTTCCCAAGGACAAGAACCCTCCCAACACGCCAGAGCTCCGCCCAATTGAGAAATACTGGGCTATTGTCAAGCGGAACCTAAAGAAGACCAAAAAAACTGCTAAGGGCGAGCTGCAGTTCAAGGCAAACTGGCTTTCTGCGGCGAAGAAGGTGGACAAGGTGGCTGTACAAAATCTGATGGCAGGGGTCAAGCGTAAGGCCCGGCAATTCGGATTTGGAAAAGCGGAAGCCTAACTGAATATTTTTGCTGAATTTTATACTAATTGAACTTGAAAAAGAAATTTAATTTGATTTTTTAAATAAACGATTTCACCGATTTACACGCGTTTTCCCTTGACCAAATTTTGACCGTATCACCCTTTAATGTAGCCCCAATGCTGGTTTGAAAAAGCTACCCATCATTGGGGTTGCATTCATTCATTCCTTTATTAAACGTCGATCTCTGTTCCGCAACCTAGTGCCAATCACCGACGGACATCGATTGCCATCCATTGACGGCAACCGAATGTGCAGGAAGGCAGCTTCCACACCTGCGTAGGATATCGCACCCATTCACAACAACACACATGGATTGGGACCAACGGCTTCACTTCCCTTCCGAAGGAAGACGTGACCAGAGATTTTTATGCCTCAGAAAAATCCCACCGACCTCGGCTGGGATTGAACCCAGACCCATTGCTTTGGGGTTGCATTGAATCTGATGATTTTAAAAATCGAATAAATTGACGAATGTACTAGCTGACGCATCTTGCCCCACATTACCTAATATTTCCAGAAACTACAACCAACTGTTCTCGATCGATTAGGATTTCTCTAAAATCTTACAGCAACATTAATTTAAGATTAACATTCTCAAAAATTCTTGATTCGCACAATAAAACTATATGAATTTCACTAGAACGACATCACAAGTCAGTTGAATATCTACACTTTTAACGTAATTCATGAAACGTAAACAAACATCTCATGTATAATTAAGTGTTTCAAACCAGAAACATGAGCAACTTTGCAAAAAGTGCATTGATTTTCTCGTCTCTTTCAACCGATTATTATGCCATAACTCTTAGAACTAGTACCAACGATTTCCACCAATCATGAGCATGAGCATTGGTGACCAAACAATTCGTAATTGCTACTCCGCGATTGACCAGATCCAGCAAAATTTGCACAAAGAACCAACCCAACCCAAGCCCCATGGCTGCCCCGTAACGTGGGTAGATCGCCTTTTCATGGTATGTTACGGATGTTATGGATGTAAGATCTACCGCCGATTCCTAGTCCTGATTCCTCAAACCTGGGCGAACACTATTTTTCAATAATCAAAGGAACACATCTTAGTCCTTGTTATCTGTTATGCCTTGTTAATAGTGATAAGTCCTCGGGATGCCTGAACCGAGGATGATCTTGAAACAAGGAAAAAATGTGTTAGTTAGTCTTCATCTATGTGATTGATAATCTTCTATTCGTTGTTCCCTAGTTTGAAGTGGTTAAGACTAGGGTTCTGATGCATGGTCATTATCGGTGTCATTCCTTCATTTTGTTGCTAAGGAATCCCATTTTGACTGACAATGGAGTGCTCTCACTCTTCGAAGGGAATAAATAACGGGACCTTTCAATTAGAATTAATTCCTTGCGATGAAGGTAAGAATAACAATTGTTTCAAAACCGAATACTTTAGTTAGAAATACTTACTAGTTTTCAATAGTGATGATACGACATGCACAAAACTAACGACACGGGATATACTACAATAGATCAAAGTACTGGTCGCAGTGGATTTATGTCCCAAACAGAGGGATAAAAGCCCCATGGCTTGATATTAACAATCCGTTCTCAGTGTACTCCGATGAATCACTACTTTAAAGTTCAATGACGGTTCTTACGGTCATCGGGGTAGGGATTGTTAGCTCGGCAACCGTAGTTTATAGAGACCGAGTATACTGCCTATAATTGCATATCAGTCCCATATGGATGTTTTTCAAATTTAAGATAACAACGTTATCCACTATCAATTGACATCTACTTTCATATTACGTGATAAAACTACGGATTTTGATCATGAAAAATGTGAAAACAACATTAAGTTAGTTTGTCTCACTAAGCAAAGTAATCGCATATCAGTCCCATCCTGAAATTCAAGCGTCCACACACTTATTTTTTTTTGCCGAGATTCCAACAGCCAAGTAGTACTGCAATTTATTTTACTGAGATTCAGTAAAACAATTGCCGAGACTCAGCTAACAAATATCATTTTGCTGAGATATCAGCTAACAAACAGATAGGGGAAATGACGGCTTCGGCATGACATACTATTTTCGGCAGCCCAAATTGAAACGCTAATTCCACTGGATTTTCTTACGAAAACACTTCCCTGAATGCATTCAAATGATTATTTAGGCTTCAATTTGATTATATTTTTACCACTGAGAAAAGCAATCTAGCAAGGTTTTCTTGAAATGAAACACACGCATTACAAAATGTTACTGATTTCAAGTTGCCGATGAAAGCACAGCTGTTTAACATGCAGCTCAAATAGAAAGGTTGCCGAATAAAAAGATGTTGCTCACAATAGTCGCTCTCACTAGAGAAGTTTTGAGCTTTGTCAAAGCGTTTCAAAACAGTTTTTGACAATTCTTTCGACTGAAATTGTTAGAGTAGCTGGCAGCAAACGATTGTAAACAAACCAATACTGCATATGTGTGCGTTCCTTAGAGAAAAAGGCTATAGAATGATGGTCGCTGCTTAGGTTGCCGAGAATACGTAAATTCCCCTATTTTGCAGATATATCAGCAAAAGTAAATACCGAGGTAATCGGCTGTTGGAGATTTTACCGAGCTAGATTAAGTGTGCAGAGGTCAAGCACAGTTCTGCATTTTGGATCGCCATATTTTTCGCTCACATAAGAAAACATGCAAGCTTCATTGTAACTGATTTCAACTTGTAAAAAATATCAATTCATTTCCTATGATTTTTCAAATATTTACATGGGAATTGCACTTCGTAAGTTCAACTGCTATTTTCTCAATGCCTACTTTTTCCATATACAACTGATATAGGATTATAAACAGTATACCTCTGCATCACCACGGCTAACACGGGAAGGACGTTTTTGTAAGAGGAAGAGGAATAAGTAACTTATAGAACTGGATTCACTCTGTAAAGTGATGTGATCTTTTAAAGCCTGATAAGCAAATAATATAACCCTATCAGCTTAGCAATGTGAATGGGACTGGAATCGGCTGCTGAGTAAGCAAAAATGGTCGCCATTAGGCCACCGAGCCGCATACATTCCATGCTAAAAATCTTAGATGTTTGTCTAATTTTGAGAAAAATCTCAAGGAAATTTTTAGGAGAAATTTAAATGAATTCTGAGGAGAATTTAAAATAAATTTTGGGAGGATGCTTCGAGAATGCTAAGCTGAATTTCAAAGAAATTTCCAGAAAAAAAATCAGTTTGAAAATGTCATAATAATTTTGTGTAAATTTTCAAGATAAACCCCAAGCAAATTATTTGGAATATTTCCGGCAAACATTGAGAAACATTTAAGCGATTTCTCACGAGAATTACTAGGAAT